GGGGGGGGGAAAGGAATCTCATGTCATCACCAAGGCTTCTTATAAAAAATGTAAATTAAAGGGAACAAGTGGATATGGCTGTGAATGTAATGCAGTAATAAGAATGCTGAGCTGATCAATTTCAGACATTACATTCCCAAAACACTCCTGAAGCCTCACAGCTTCCATATGGCTCATTGGACACATTCAATAACATGATCATTCAGAACGTTCAGTCCTACATAAAGACAAGAAGAAGAAAAAAATCTCACAACCAGAATAGCTTAAGAGCCTAAGCAAAAGGCGCAGTAGTGAGTCCCATTTCCAAGTCAATCCTCTCCCTGTTTCACAGCAACAGAAGTTCACAGCAAAACATCAAACCTTTGGAGAGATTTTTCATACATTGCTCATTAAGTTCATGGACTAGTGTAGAAGCAATCAGTCCCTCCAGTGATGCATGGCTAGCTAGATGAACCATTTAAGGACCCAGCAAGCACTCCATCTGAGTACTAGGAAACAAAGATGTCATGCTGACCTGAGCTCACTGGGTAGACTTTGAATATCTATGTTGCTAATCAATATGTGAGCCTTCTGAAGTATTATTTAGCACAACAGAAGATATTATTACAAGGAAAAGAGCTAGACCCCTCCAGAACACCACTGCAATGCCCTTCATTTTTTAACATTAACCTTCCAGAATTAATTTGCACAAATGAACACAGCACAATCCTATAAGCAAAGATACTGCAATGAATAGCGAGAATATTAAAAACTGGAGGCCTCCTTCTCTACAGGAGTATGCGTTATGTCATTGACTCCAGTGGGAACAGGATTGGGCCAATGCTCAAATCTTTTTGGACCACCATTGGAATTCCTTTGGGTCACAACATTGTGAGGTCACAGTTGGCAGAAAGTATTAGCTAGCCCTACTCTTATAACCACATCTTTGTTCCTTCTGTGTTCACTAGGTAGTCATGGTCTGATCCAAAGCCCATTTAAGTCAATGAAGAGAACCCTATTGACTTCAAAGGGTTTTTTGGATCTGGCCCTCAGTGAGTTTCCACCACCATTCATCATTCACGTCTAGTAATAATGCAAACTGTTCCACTAGTCTGCTTGGACCTAAATAGATTCATTTCATTTTCCACAAAGATCGATAGGCCAGAAACCATACGGTTTGTTAAGGCATCTTCTCTCTATTTATAATTAAAAATTCCTTCAGTCCCATAAGCTTGAATGAGTATCATTTCCCTTCTTTGTGGCTGGGGTCAAAAAACAAATAAAATGAACTCTTATTTATTCTTTCTCCCAATGAAGATTCCTTCCAACATAATGAAACCCATTTTCAACATCCAAGAATCTTACATCCTGATCCACTGAGGCCTCGTCTACATTCAAAGGTTGCACTGATTTCACTAAGTTTGTTTAGAAACTGATTTAGTTAAACTGGTGAAAGCCCTTCATGTAGATGTTCTTAAATCAGTTTAAGAGTGCTTTATATCAATGTAGCTTGTTTACTAGCCCATTTTCTATATATTTCTAGAACACAACGGGTCCCAACCTGGTTGAGGACCATAGAAACTACAGAAATATAAATATCAGCTCAAGTCAGTTCCATAAGCCATATTGAAATAAGGCACTCAAACTTTTTAAAGAGTTTCTGTACAATACAGTTGTACCAATTTAACTAAGGGGAGTCTACATTTCAAACTGGAGGAGTAAAATCCAGCTCGAGGAGATAATCCACACTAGCTTGGACTGAGCTAGTGCATAAAAATAGCAGGTAGCCATGGTGACATGAACAATGGGAGAGGCTAGCTGCCCCAAGTACAAGCCTGTCCAAGAGGCTAGTTATGTACTTGGGGTAGCTAGCCCCTCCCACCACTCGCGCTGCCATGACTACCCTCTGTTTTTAGCATGTTAGCTTGATCAGCTGGAATTTACACCTTCAGCTCTAAGTGTAGACATACCCTAGATGAGTTTCAAAATGGATTTAGTTAAATCAGTGTAATGTGTATGTGTGTGTGTGTGTGTGTGTGTGTGTGCGTAGACAAAGCCTATTTCAAATCATTTTTTCCGCTCAAGGGGATTCACATCTTTTTCTTCTATCTCTTCTAGCTTCCATGGCTCCTTCTCCCTTCAACTCCCAAAAAGATTTTTCAGAAGCAAGGACTAAATCTTTGTTTCCTGCCAATATCCCTGATCCAAACTTCTGTGCACAATAAAGGCATGGTTCACATAAAGTTCACATACGAGGATTCAAGAGGCCTGGCTAGTTTGGAGAATATACAGAACCAAATCTGACTTTTCTGAGATGCTCTCATCTTGAGTGGCCTTATAACAGTCCTTCCCTATTACCTCCACTAATACATGTTTTATAGCATAGCTTTCAAAGCTCTTGTGACAGGTATATGCAGTATAGTGGAAGAGAAGAAACTGGAGCATGTTAGAAAATCTGTTTTCCATCAGTACCGACATGAGACTAGCAACTGAATGCCAGTTTACTGGCTTCTGGTGGGAAGTATTAATTTTCAGTATTTTTCCCACTGGCAGCAACGTTAGGTGCCTAGATAGATAATCTATGACTAGTTAGGATTCCATACTTAGGATGTGATCATCTTGTCATATCCTAATTAGCTGGATCAGCTTGCCTTCTCATTGGGATCCCAGACTGAAAGCATTCTTCCATTGCCCAGAAAGAGG